AATGTTCTGGACCTGGCAAGGTTTTCCCAAGTTATCATTTCATAATGGGGACGAGTTTCTGAGTGGGCATGTCAACATAAAACTCTTGAGACATACCTGCTGACATGTAGAGAAGGCCTGTCAGAGAAAGACTATGGGAAGCACTAGAATCCGTGCCAGTGGAGAAGGACTCGAAGGCAAAGAGGAAGAGGCAGAGTCATCAGAAGACTCAGCTTGTTGTACACCTATTGGAGACACAACACCCCGAGACAAAAGAATACAAACAGAGCAGGACATGGATGATTGGGAATATGTGTGATATCAAAAAACGCCAAGTATTTTCTCCTCTGATTCTGAAAGTGGCAAAATTCCCCTCTAGGACATGGGGCTCTGAAAGATGAACAGACTCTATGAATCAAGAGTTCCAACCTTTAAGGATTTGTTTTAAATAACTTAAGCTTTCTTGCTTAGAAACTCATTAAAAACAACTTCAGTGCGCTCGAGGGAAAAGTTGTCTTTTAACAACTTTTAATGAGCTTTTCCCTCCTACGTGTAGGGAGTATGTATATGCCATCCAGATTGCCCTCCAGAGCAGACTCTTTCTTTCTCCCACCTGCCAGGATTGTTGGTAGCCAGCGACTCCAGGCTAAGTCCCTTCCTGGGACACAGTCTCTCTAAAGAGAGCTGCCTTGTTGGAGGAGCAGCCGCTGTCTAATTACTAGTCTCTCTCCTGCAGCGGACTGACACCTCTTTGTTGACTGTACTCCATTCCATTCCTCCCTCGCTTACCCAAATTGTGGAGTTTGCTTCCCAGCAAACTCAACCCCAAGCCTGAGTACAGCAGTAATGAAGGCAGCGTGGATGATGAAAGGAGTTTCTGTTTGCTTTGGCGGCCTTATGAGTGACAAGGTTAGAGAAAACTAGCCAGGCAAAGGACGTGCCAGTTTTACTGCCCTACTGGGAAGGCCTAGAATAACATAACCACAGGAAATAGCCCGAATGCTTCTTGGAAGCAGAGACTCACTTTCTATTCCATTCCATGCTAGACACAAATAGTTCAGAGACAGCTTCTGGGGTATAAATACGCTTACCCTGGCTGATTTTATGCTTCAACTATTTAACAAAGAGAATCATTGAGTTCACAATGATTTCACCATCTCCTCTTCATCAGTCACGGGAACACTGTCCTACTCAGAGCTACTTAGTCCTGGAAGTGCACAGAACTCAAAGGCAACAAATTTGACGCGGCCCTATCAGTGTCCTAGGCTTGTGGCACAAAAATAAGAAAAACAAAATAGCGATTAAATAATACAGTGAAAAAAAGCAGTCCAGTGTCGATGTAGCGAATACGGAGAAGATGGATGGCGGAGAACAGAGAACGGAAGCAAGGAGTGCATCATCCACCAGATGCGTGACGGCACAGACAGCAGGAAGAGGTGGGACCTCTGAGGAACACCGAGAGTGGGAGATGATCAAGTGAAAGGAAAGCCAAGAACTGGGAGACGCGTGTCACACAACAGAGAGACGGGAAGGACAGCTGAGCTGCCCAATGGTGAGCCACACAACAGAGGGTAGCCCGCACGGTGACACAGCAGCAAGGGCCACCACAGAGCTGCACGAACACCTGGACAGTCTTGCTGCTCAGCAGCCTGAGTGGACCGCTCGGACCCTCAACACGGTGCTTCCCGAACAACCAGCCAAGCCCCTGTTATTTGGAAGACACAGGGAGATGAGAGATGATGCTACGTTGCCCAGGAAGATGTGGTTTTGTTCATTCCAGGTCACCGTATAAGCCCAAGGCAGAAATCAATCCAGAATGTGTGCAATGGCTGCTGATGTCATCATGAGCAGCCCAGAACAGAAATGACAGGATGCCTGTGATGGCAAAGGCAAACAAAGTTCCTTTCTTCGGAAGGGCTGAATAGTCATTGCATTGGTTCCTTTATTAAGCATCTCCTTTACCTTGGTAGTGAAGAAATCTCTTGGGAATTGATACCACTGAGAAGTCCACACTGTGTTGGGCTTAGAGGACAAATGGAAATCAGAAACATCTGCAGATACTCCATTCTGGTCCCTAAGATGTAGTTATGAGAGACAAATATTAGAGAAAAAAAAATGGTCTGTAGGAAAAATAGAACTCAGCCATGGTGTCGAGGAGAGCACAGGGCTCCATCTGACACCACAGTAGAACTTGGACAAACTGGCTTAGCTGATGTGAGTGTAGACTTTCCTGAGAAGTAAAAACAATTAAGATCTGCTACAATGTATTTAAGAGAAGAGGAGGGAATATTAAGGAAAGCCAGGAACATGTGCAAAGACATACGTAAAGAGGAGTTTGTGCACTGAGGAACCTTTGTAGTCAATGGGCCAGCATAAGAGAAGAGGAGGGAATATTGAGGAAAGCCAGGAACATGTGCAAAGACATACGTAAAGAGGAGTTTGTGCACTGACGAACCTTTGTAGTCAATGGGCCAGCAGCCTCCAGCTCACTTCAGCAGGTTAGAAATTCGGACACTCTGGCCTCGTTTGTGCGTCAACAAGATTCCCAAGCAGTCTGGACATACTTAGAAATTTGAAAGGCTGAAAAAAGACTAACTAGGCTGTTACTCAGACAGTGTCGAGTGGAACATGGTGAGATTCACAGCTGGACATACAGGGACAACCCTGCACCCAGACTTTTACTGACCATGTTTACTCGGTTGCATTATACTCTAACAGTATTGAGAAGGCAAGGATTTAAATTTAGGGTGGTGGGATAGAATCTAGCCTCAATATTAAAATGTATATTGATGTAAGAATGCTGTGAGGTGTGAAATATCCCCCCAGAGGTTCGTGTGCTTGAACACCTGGTCCATTCATACTTTGTTTCTCAGAGACTATGGAAACTTTGGATGGAGGATCTATCTGGAGGAAGTGGATCACTGTGGGTGGGTCCTTAGCTTTATAGCCCAGCTCCGCGTCCAGTACCATCTCTGCTTCTCTGTCCATTGGGAAAGTACCTTCATGTTCCAACAGTCACAGCAGAGATCTGTTCCCACCACCACCATGCCTTCTCTGCCACAATGGACTACACTCTCAAACTGTAAGTCAAAATTAACCCTTCTTTCTTCAAGTTTCTATCAGGCAATTTTGACACAAAAAAGGAAAAATTAATTAGTATGAGGATTATATCTGATTTTCAAGAAAAAGACTATTAAAGGGTTTAGGAATTTAGCTCAGTGGGACAGCATTTGCCTAGCAAGTGCAAGGCTCTGGGTTCCATCCTCAGCTCTGAGGTGAGGAGTCGGGTAAAGAAGAAGGGGGTATCTCAAAATAGACAGGTCATCTTCAAACCCTTCAGAGATCTATAGAATATTAAAATGTTTTAGTAACATAGGTTTTTTTTAATGACTATGAGACATGTTTGCTCCTGGCAGCACCAATCTAGTTCAGAGAAGATATGGTCATTGAAGAAAATGCATATGGAGTTAACTTTCATTGTGGCAAACGTTAGTCACTGGCTAACAAAGTACCCTTGCATTGACTGCTGACAGTATGCTGTCCAAAATGGACAAACAGGACACAAAACAAAGGACTACCAATATTTGCCAAGACAAGTGTGGTTGCAGTTTTGGCAACAGGTGTCCTCTGAGGCCAGGACAATGTGGCACCATTGCTGAAGTGGCCTTTGCAGTCTGGAAAAGGTACAGTGCCCCTTTCTTCAAAGGCAGCTGAACAGACAGTGAACCGATGGCTTCTGGTGTGCAGTGGAACAGTAGCTGAAACAGTTATTCTTGAAGGAGTAACTAGGCTGATGGAGTTTAACCCCTCAATGGTAGACCGGTATTTAATAAAAGAAATGAAACCACCCACAAGCCAAGAAGAATGGGCAGTCAAATTCCAAAAACATCAGCAATTTCCAGAATTTAAAATCCTGAATCATGACAGGACATTGGTGGAATTCAGATTTATCTGGTACATGGACTACTCCCACCAAATGTGAGGTGGAACTGTAGGCCTTCTGTACATCCTACTTCACAAATGAGTCTAAAGCCTGTAGGCCGAAGATGATGCCCCAACGTTGGAGAGAGACCTCGGGTGACTCTCCAGGCAGCTGGCTATTTCTGTCAACTCACATTTTTCTGCAAGTTGCTTGTTTTCACTTCCTGTTTTACTAGGTAATATTATTTCTTTCTCAAGTCTCTGAGGGAGTTCAAGATTAGATAGTTGTAGTAACAATTTCCCTTGTTAAGAAATTAGAAAAGAAACCCACTAAGGAGTTTTAAAGTGTATAAGCTTAAAAGACATTATAAGATAGTCTTCTGTTGGTAATACAGAATAGGATAGAAAGTGAATTAGGTATATTTTGGACTCACCAAAATAGGATAGATAATGGAATATTCTCTCTGAATTTGTCAAATGCATATGGACTGGACATTGTTGATGTATTTATTGCTTGTATATATTGTATATAGTTATTCTACTTATTGTATATAGTTTTTCTTATATTAGTTATAACTTTTTCATTTTTATTTTTATTAGACAAAAAAAGGGGAAATATGGTGATATTTTATTTGTGCTGAAATGTGGTGATATTGTATTTGTGCTTTAACATACCTGGAGATCAGAGGAAATAGCAAGCCATTTTAAGGAAATAAGAAATCAGGCAGCACATGCCCTTAATCCCTTAGCAGGCAGGATCTCTGTGTGTTCAAGGCCACACTAGGGAACAGAGGCAAGTGTGGTGACAAAGTCCTTTAATCCCAGTACTAACCATAGAGGCCTGGAGGTCTGTTCAGACAGATAGAAAGTGACAGAGCTGTGTAGGAAGAGGAAGTGAGGTAGCTGGGCTAAGAGAGCCAATGAGAGGGCAGAACAGCAAGGCAACAAAAGCATGGGTAGACAGGAAGCAAGTGGCATTTGGAAGCTGCAGAGTTGGTGAGGTAAGGTTGGCTGGTGGCTTTCCTTATTTCCCTGATGTAAGGCTTTCACCCCTAAATTTATTTAATAAGATGATTTAGAAATTCATCTACAGAAGGGTACTATAATAAGCTATGCAAGATAATACCAGAGTCTATGCTTCCAAGACGAAGCAGAAAAAAAAAAGAGAGAGAGAGAGAAATAGGTGAATATATCTGAAAAATATTCAGGAAATAAAGTCAGCGAGACATGGGAATGGTTTGGAATTAGGAATGAGCATGAGGTGTGAAAAAGTATGACTTAACACAATGATTGTTACACACACAATCATGATCTTTTTTGATATTTTTACTATTTATATATACACAACACCAACTCAACTAGCAAACTCTCAATATTCATTAAGCTGAATGGAAAAAATCAAGGGTAGTTTTAGGGGTTAGACCATGAGCTAGGCTTTGAGACTTGCATAAATTAAGTTGTACCTCAAAATATATGAATCCTTAGTACCTGTGAGCATGATCTTATTTGGAAATAAGGGTTTTGTGAATGTACACAAGTTAAAATAAAAGTCATATTGGATTAATGTGGCTATCCCTATAAAGCACAAGAACCCAAGCATGGAAGAGATTTAGAGACAAAAAGATACTAAGATATGTGAGGTTGCAGGCAGAAATGGAAGTGTTCCATCTATTAGTCATTAATGCTGAGAATTATTACAACTGCCAGAAGCTCTGAGAAAGGGAAACTGCACTGATTTCCCCCTGAGAGAGGTTTCAGAAGGAAAACACTCCTCTAACACATTGATTTCAAACATCTAGTCTTCAAAACTGCGCTAATAAATTTATGTTGTTTTAAACCAACTGACCTGTGGCATTTTGTTATGACAGTCCTATAAAACTAACAGAGGGATGTCTTTCTGATATCAAAGAAGAAATGTCAATGAGTAATCTTAAATTGGAAGCAATTACTATAATGAAGTATCTTACTCAGAACCTGCTATCATTAGAATAAACATCCTTGATTGTATTCACCCCCAATCTTCTAAGAAAAATGGTTTCCACATGTATTGTCGAGAACATTCTAGGAGGTCTGGGAATACAGCTCAGTGAGTAGACTGTCCATCTGGCACAGGTTTAATCTCCAGCATCGCATAAAGCCAGCTGTGGTAGCGTTCACCTTGTAATTGCTGCACGCTGGAGGTGGAAGATCAAAAGTTCAAGGTTATCCTTGACTACATAGTGAGTTGGAAGCCAGTCTAGACCATATGAAACAACAACAACAACAACAACAAATACCAAAGAGAAAAAAAAAATCATTCTAAGAAATTCCAAACGTCCCTATGATTGATGACAGTTAAGAAAAGAAAAATACAAAAGAAGAAAAGTAAAAACAACTTATTTTAACTTATTCTTTCTTAAGTACGCTTGTTCTTTGCCAGTTGCAGGCATGAATACAGTGCATCCTGTTTACTTTCACCCTACCCTCTTTTATCCTCTTTTATCCTCTTTCCATCCCTGCCATTGCACACTCCTCCCCACAGGTCCCTTTGCTTTGCTCACGCCTTCATGTTTTGTTTCGTGGTCCACTGATTTTAACCAGCACCATCTGTGTGGTCCCAGGTTTGGAACATCTGTTACAGCCCACTGGTTTGCTCTACAAGCAAGGCAATGACTCGTCCATCTCCCAGAATCCGTTAGTTGCCAGCAGCTCAGCAGAAAAGTTAAGGCTCTCTGAGCCTCTCATCCATCCATGATTGGTGGTTGGCAGGCCCAGTCTTGTGCAGACCCACAACAGGCAGGCAACCACAGCCACTATGAGCTCGTGTTTGCAATGCTGTGTCATGCCCTGAGGACAGCATTGCACAACGCTTCTTCCTGTGTCCCCGCCTGCTCACTTTTTTTTTTTTCTGTTCTTCCTCTCTTTCACAATGCTCCCTGAACCTTAGAGAGGGTTATATAAATGTCTTGATTAAGGCTGAACATTCAACAGTCATCTGTGCTAACTATCTGAGCCATGCAGTCCCCATTGTTCACTGCGAAGAGAAGCTTCTTTGAGGAAGGGTAAGAGTAGTATTTCTCTATGGGTAGAAACAATATTTAAACTGCAGTTTGGTAGCATGTCAGTTTACCTAAACAACAGTGCTGACTGCTCTCCCCCTTGAGGCCCATGACCTCTCCAGTACCAGTTTTTCTTTTCTTTTTTTTCTTAAAATTTATTTTACTATTTTATGTGTATGAGTGTTTAGCCTGTATCTATGTCTGTGCATCATGTGTGTGCCTGTGCCTGTGGAGGTCAGAAGAAAGCACCAAATCCCCTGGGACTAGAGTTATAGATGGTTGTGAGTGCCAGGTGTTTGCTAGGAATTGATTCCAAGTCCTCTTCAATGGCAACAAATACTCTTAACCACTGATTATACAGTTTCCACCCCATTTATGAATTTTTGACTAGGTTTATAGTTCTAGACATGCATTTCCTCACATGAAGCAGAACTCAAATCCACTTTGAGGACAGTTGTACTATTACTGTACCAACAGGTCATCTTGCATGGCAGGTTGACCTTAGAGTTCACAGGGTTAGCAGCTGGACAACACCACTGACGCCTTACCTCCCCTAGCAGCCTGCAGAGCACATTCTAGAACTACGGAAGCTAGCCAATCAGGGAGAAATCTCCCAGCTCAGTTCCAGCTTGCTTTCTCTACTATATCTTACAACCAAGGTATATGGTTGTCTTCAGCAACAAGGTCTTATCATCTAGTCATGGAGGGCAAGCAAGACCAATGGACATGGCCTGTATTTGTAGGGGAACCTCCAGGTCCTCCCTGACCAGCAACTCACAAGGAGGTTTCCCACATGCAGCCTACATTTTTTTTATTTGATAAACAATGACTTCTAGGGACAGCATTATCCAACTGTGATGGATAGCTCCCTTCTAACTATGTTTTCTAAACTTAGATTTCAATTGGCTTACAAAGTAGTAGATTTTCATAGGGCTTTTTCATAAGTCCATTACTTTAGTTAACTTGCCCTCCCCAACCCGTCACCTCCCTGTCTCCCGCCCTCATAGCTGTTTGAGCCTCCCCATTTCCAATATTCTCCTTCTATTGTTTGTATTACCTGCTCTCCCTGAAGACACCCCTCCATGTACCCTTTCTAGTTTCATGGCTTCTACAGGTGCCCCAAGTTAAACACATAGAACTGAACATCCCAAGAAAAGATACACACTGCCGAACAGAAACTGTTAACTCCCATTTGTCCACTACTGTCCTTATTGCCTAAGCCACTAGAGTCCTAATCAAAAGTCCTTACCTATCCCTGGATCTTGAAATGTACTCCCTACTTTTTCTTCTAGCTCTTTCAGAGTTTCGGGTTTTATGTTGAAGTCTTTGATCCACGTAGAGTTGATTATTGTGCTGGAGGAAAGGGAAAGATCCATATAATTCTACATATGGGTGTCCAGTTTCCCCAGAATCCTTTGTTGAAGAGGTTAGCTTTTCTTCAGTCTGAATTTCTCACGTCTTTGTCAAAAGTTAAGTAGCAATAGTTGTATGTGTTCATATTGGAGTCTTCTACTCTGGTCCATTGGTCTATATGTCTTATGTTCCAGTCTCAAAGTATCCCACCTCCTAATACAGGTACAGAAATACTTTTCCTATGTTTGAAACTGGTGTACAACCTAAGAAGTTAGCCTCAGCAGCTTCTCAGAAATCTCCTAGGGATTCCTTTAATTTGTCATCACTTTCTTCCAAAGCTAAAAAACACTAAGAAATAACTTTGGGGATCTTTCCTGGTATATAAACATTATTGATTGACAAATTCCTATATGATTCTAAATGCCATCCTCATTTATCCCAGGATAGTTTACAAAGTCAATCAGGTATCAGAGATGGAACTGTGGCAACAGGCCTCACTGGTATTATTTCCTTTCCAACACAGCTGTCAGTGTTCTGAGCCCTGAGTTCAGAAAAAAAAATGAGTGACTAGGAACCTAGACTGCCTAGAAATGAAGATTGCTGATGTCCTTCCACCTCGGGGCTCTGTAAAATAAAGGTAGACTACTCCTTTTGCAGAGCTGGCCAAGAGCAATTATCCTCAGATCATCCAGCAATTATCACCTAAAAGGTGTGGAGTTTAAGCCAAGCATGACAGTGTGAGGGTGTAATCCCAGAACTTGTCCAGCGGAGGAAGAAGAATTGGGTATTCAAGCCTCCACCTGGCTACCTGGTGAGTTAAAAGCCATATGAGATCATGTTTTAAAAAATGTTTTGTTTACAGATAGTATCAAATGATGGAGGCTTCTAAAACTCTTGTTCAGATTTGAAAACCTCGTGTCAGATAAAATGTTTCAGTGTTGCTAACAAGTTCCAAGTTAGGCTACCTAACATAGCCACTGTCACCTAATACAACTATATCTGAAGAGTGGTTACTACATGAAACACTACCCAAACTCCCTCTCCTAGATACCACATACCGGCCAAACAACTCCTTTACCTCCCTGCTTCCCAATCAGATGCAAATCACTGTCCAAGTCTAAGTGATGTCAGACAGAAACATTCCAAGCATCCTGCAGAAAGGACTCCTTGAAGTAGGCAACTCCAGGTGGTCAAGCAGAAATGATGGAGTCTCTGGCCTCACCTGGCTCTCTTATACTAAATTCTAGCTTTTCTCCTGAGTCACTCTGGTTTGTCAATCACTTTACCAAATTTCTGTGCAACATAATTCCCCTCAGTAGCCCAAGACATGCTTCAAGATCTTATTTTCCCCCTTTCCTAGCCAAAGGGGGAAAACAGGATGACTATTTCTCAAAAAGAGTTGTATCAATAACACAAGAGTAAAATAAAGTACCTATACATGAGTACATGGCTCCATGTAATTGGACTGTGAATGGCGAGGAGACTGGAGATAACACCTAGCAAGCAGTTATCGATCATTGGCTAGGGCATGGCACAGGTGATGTAGTGCCCTCTTCTTCCCCAAAATGGTCTCTTTATCACCTACTTGCCAATGAAATCATGTTGGCCATGAGTGGACTCATTGAGTCTCTAGTTGTCTAACATGGAAAAATGAGAGGAAGCTTGATCTCAGCTCTGACAAGAAGTGCTCTTGTTAATTAGGGAAGCAGAGAGAAGTTCAAGGAGAATCCAACCTTGGAATTGGACTGGGCCCATTGCAGCCTCCTTTCAGGTGTCGGAGCTGTGCAGACAGTCTCCTTCCTTATCTCTAGATCTAGAGCACTAGGGAGCAAGGAGGGCAAATTCCAAGCAGGCTCACACCGGCTTAGCATCAGTGAGAGTAGAAGCCTAGCTACTGAGACGGTATGGGCTTTTCCTTGGGAGATTTTCGAGTAACTGAGTATTCTTTTAGGCTATACAGTGTTAATCCTCTTAACTACTGTGGCTGCAGCCCCTCAGCTCAGCTGAGCTTATTAAGGAGGGGCATGAACCTTCGGGGAACTGGGTCCAAAGCTACAATGATCTATCAGCTCACACCTGTCAGAGTGGCCACTCTCAAAACAAAACGAGAAAATAGGTGTTTGTGAGGCAAGTGGGACAGAAGTGTGTACTATTAGGATTGGAAAATGACACAGCCATTATGAAAGAGAATACAAGCAGTCCTCAGCACAATAAAACTAAAATCACTACCCGATCCAGCAACGCCATCTTTGGATATTGACACGGAAGAATTAAAAGAGGGATCTGAGAAGGGTGTCTGGACACGTGCTCCTTTGTCTTATTCACAACAGCAGGAGGTAGAAGGAATATTTACAAGTGAATGGGGAAAAAAACATGGCACATTTGTGCAATTGAGTATTATTCAACCTTCGGAAAGAAGTAAGTCCTGTCACATGCTAAAACGGGTACAATACAATGAAAAGGTCAGCCAATTCAGTCCCTACTAAACATTTCCAACAGAGAACATTGCTATAACTCAGTGTGTGCAGAGGTGATGGAAACATTTGAAAACTGGTAGTTAGTTCCACAGTGCTGGGATATCTCAAATGCCACAGAATTTGAAAAAAGCATTTCATATTGAATGTTCCTAAGTATTTATGGTTTCTTTTCATTTGTGTGTGGTAGGTAGCACAACAAACTCTACAGGAATTTGTATTACTAATTTTGAGTTTCTTAGAATGTAGCTTTTTTGTTTTGTTTTCTTTCTTTTTTTTTTTTTAAAAAAGTTCTATAATAGTATGTGTATTTTAAAGATTATTCCAGGCTGGAGAGTCAGTTCGGCTGGTAAAGTGCTTGTCATAAATGCGACCATAAAGAGCTCAGAGTTTGATCCTCAGAACCCATGCAAAAGCGGCCAGGCATGGTGGCATGCACTTGTGATCCCAGCACTGATGAGACTGAGTCAAGAAACCCGTGGAGCTTGATGGCCAGCCAGCCTAGCCTAATCAGGGAGTTCCAGGCCAGCAAGAGACTTTGTCTCAGTGTTTACTTGGCCTCTGCAAGTATATACATGTGGATGATGATGCTGACTAATGACACCCAATGTTGACAAAAACACATGTTCACCCATACACCCATGAACATGCACACATTGTATACATATACACATGCAAACAAATGAAATAAAATTTAATAGAATCCCTTCGGTTTCCTTACATTTCTTTTGTGGGTTCTCTAGCCCCACCTACTCATACTATGCTGGCATTTCCCAGACCACATTCTTGGCCTACACATGCTGAGCACAGCAACTTCAGCCCTATATGGATTTAACAACCACCTGTAGGATAACAAGTCTCTAACCTGAAACTGCAGCTGAGCTGTATCCCCAAAGCCTCAGGCATGCATATTTAATCGCTTACTCAACATTTCTACCTGACTGTCCATGGGAACTCAAGACTCAGCATCCAGAATAACAAGTGAACTTTCTTTTTTTTCTAATTTTTAAAGCATTTAATTTATTTATGTGTATGTATGTTCTGTCTGCATGTGTGTCTGTGCACCATGTGTGTGTCTGGTGCCTGAGGAGGCAAGAGAGGACAACAGGTACCCTACTGGGGTTACATATGGCTATGAGATGCCACGTGGGTTCTGGGAATAAAACCTAGGTCCTCTGGAAGGGGAGCCAGTACTCTGAACTGAAGAGCCATCTCTCCACCCCGACATCTCGCCACCCCGACATAACAACTTTCAAACAATGCTTCCTCTCTTAATATCACC